TTCGGTAAAATTTCTTCTGCAGAGTCAGGATAGGGATGACCTTATCAGCTCAGCATCATGTTATGTCCTAATTGACCTCACACCCAAGTGACTTCACTGGTAGCTGAAAATACTCAACATCTGGCAATTCTTGGACTTAAATGATGCAAAGCACTCAAAAATTCACAAATGATAAGGAATATAAATAGCACTGAGTTCTTTATCAGCACCACTGTAGGGTAGCCTGACACTGCAAACCTTCTGCTGACTGCAAGTATTTGTGCTCCTTATATTTGCTAACCAAAATGCAGGCTTCTTTCAAAATAGCTTCTGAAAGGTCAGCACCTATAGAAATCACCTTGCCACAACTGAGCAGCATTTGGCAGGCTGTTCTTTTCATTTCATCTTTAACTCTTCATTTATTTTTAAAATTTGGAGGTTTTCCACTATTCCAATTCTATAATACTGAGTACTACTGGAGAAGTATATTTCAAAATTAAGTATTTTAGTATTGTTTTATTCCGCAACTCACCACCCACCGCTGTCTCACACATGCCTCCATGCACATCCATATATAAAGCACAGGCACTATGTTACATATGACTCTCAAAAAAAACCCCCAAACCTGAGGAACGTAGTATTGGGAAAGAAAACACAGACTACATCTATTTCATTCCTGCAGCTAAGGTTTGCCTCCTTTGTAGTACCTGCAGCCACCTATTTTAGTTCAATGACTGAAGTACAGAGAGTACTTGTCTAGATAAAGTGCACTCAGTACGATTAATACCCAGAAGTAGGGTACAAAAGGAACCCCTTGCATTGTACCTGCCTATAGCCAAGCTACTACAGATCATCTCTGAGTAATGCAGTAGAACTACTGGCAGTCCAATCCCGTTTCTAAACACTTTGCAGGCTTAACACACTGTATCTGAACAACTAAGTTCTGAGCAAGTCTTTGTTTGACTTAGCACCTGTCTCTACAACAGCCAACAACAAATAGCCTAGGAGAGCATATATGGAGCACAATGAGTGTTTGTTTTGTTTTGTTTTTTTTTCTCCAAAAGGTTCTTCCAGCCTCCAGAGATTTATGTTAGGCAGAGTTCCTGAGGCAAAGATGGTGCTCTAGTGTCTTCCAGCACTGGCTAAATCTCACATAAATAGAAGGAATTATTAAATTAACCTGGAACGTAGAGAAGACCCAACCCTTGACAAATTAATTCAATGCATATACACAAAGTAGCTTGCTTTCTTAGTTTTCTTGCTGCTGCATGTAGTTGTATTAGAGGACAGTCAGCAAGCATTCTTTATGAGCCACCTCAGTCACCTCTCTTCCATCTTAGTCTGATTATCCCTTGTTCAGAAGACAAGGTTCAAGGGAGATACGCATGTCTGAACACAGGAACTGCCTACGCCAGGCTATGCCTGTCAGCTGTGTTTTCTAGAGCTGACATCTGCCTAAACCAACAAGGAGGAAGCTCAGGAGGATTCCCAGGAGACAGTTCAGTTCACTGCATCATCTTGCCACAGAGTCAGCCACACATGGGAGCCATTGCAAAGGAGAGGGTGAGACTGTATGGTGACAAGCAGCAATAAAATCCACAGTAATAGAAAGCTCAGCTTCTGTGGAACTGTGTGGACTTGACTGCTTTGTAACCCAGCCACTTCTTCATGTACTAGACATGAGGAAAACAAACTCCCCCATCAGGGGGCTGGTGTGAGCTACATGGCAATCTCAGGTACTAGCTTACAAATAAAGCTAAGGTTGACCTTTTCAGGTGTGAAAAGGTGTGTTTTTGCAGGTACAGTGTAAGCTATGGGTTTACAGCAAGACAAGAAATTCACACACAATATAAATTTCTCACGAAAGTCTGTAGCAGTCAAATGATTTTAATGCTCTCTTATGGGATAAGCATTACACCTTACTGTGCTTGGAAACAGGCAATATGATTTTCCAGGTATCAATAAACTCTATTAGTTACCCCATGTTTAGTTTTTCTTACAGGAGCTCCCTAATACAAGCTTATTTTAGAAATCTCCAAATAGCCAGCTTTAGATTTTTTGGAGAAGAAGCAAGCATGCTTGTTTTGCTTCACTGTACAACAACGTTTACTATGAAATTGCATTTTAACTATTAATAGCATTCACACATAATGTACCCAGTGTTTAATAGTACAGCAGTTAAACCACTGTAGCTCTTATGCCTGTGATTCTGTTCTCAGGTAGCTCAAAGTACATTAACTGTGTGACTGGAAACAGGGTTAGGTAAAAAGCAAAATTGCTGAGGTGAGTGGCTGAGGTGAGTGGCTCGAGAGAGGCCGCCTTCCAACACCGGAGCGGGGCTGGGGGGAGATCAGCGTCCAGGAGCTTCAACTCAGAGCGTCAACAGCCACCGAGCGAGCCTCAAGTCCCCAGCAGGACCTGCCCAGGAGCCGGCAGCTCAGCTGACGCGAGCGGGGACTCACAAGGGGCGGAGCCAGGGGCAGCGGCACCAGCCCTGACTGGTTAAAAACCTGCCCCAGGGAGCGTGAGTGACCAGGGTGGGTCGGGGCAGCTCGTGCGGGCAGGCGAGCGGGATGGTGAGCACTCGTCTCATGATCAGGGCCCGGTCTGGGAGCTCTGCTCTGGCTGTGCAAATCTCCCCAAAACACAGGAAATTACTGCAGTAACATGGTAGGTAGAAGATGCACCCCTTAACGACTTCTAGATTAATCAGAATCAGGATGTGCTCCATATTGTTATTCCTCTGGAATGTTAACCTTGCTAAACATTCACCCTTTTTGGAAATCTGCCCATCAGTTACTCAGTTCATGCTTTTATAACAGCAACAACGTCTGAAAAAGAGAGATAAATAAACCCCTGAGCATATTCTTTTTATTTAGAGCACTGTAAGTGTTTATGATAGCAGAGTACTCTTTCTGGAAGTCAAATCACCAAAAGCTACACAGAATCCTTATGCAGAGATTACGACGACTGATCCTCCTCTCACTTCCTGTTCAGAATAATAACACGTGCTATGTAGAACCATTTCTTAAATTTGGAAAAAGGGAATGGTAAAAATAAACCATTCCTACCTCAGAATTACCTCATTCTTACCTCATAAACCTTTTAAGTTCTGAGACACAGAACCACTGTATTAAAAAAACCAAAACCAAGAGGATCGTGCAGCGACAGAACATACAAGTCCTAGAACATACTTTTGCGAAAATGAGACAGATTTATTTGAACATAAGCTAGAATTAGAAAAAAATAGCAGATGGCCAATTGCAGCACCACTGAAATTCCAACAGCTTGTTTTGAAATGTTAATTCTTAAAATAAGGTTTTAGAGTTGGAATAGATTCTTTGGGGAAGACAGAAAGCTTGGTTCAGACAAGCAACTCAGATTCCTTTCTAAAATCAACTGGACACCAGTAGGTAGCTGCATTCTGGGGGCATTTTCCTCACATCTGCAGGCTAGTTTAGGTGTTCTTCAAGCAGTCATAACTGAAGGTTGCTTTTTTTTAAAGCTGTCCTCACTTCAGGCTAGTTTCTCCTGCCATTCTTGAAAGAACTCCTCACATCGTCCTCCCCAGGTTTGCCATCCAGCTCTTAAGTTAGTTTTACTTCAGGCGTAACCATTTCATAACCTCATTGTCAGCCCGCTGTGGGTCCCAAAATTTGGGAACAAGATCCCTCATAAAGACTAAGGCATAATATTAATTGGCCTTCTAAGCCACATTCACATTAACAAAGAGGATAAGGACATTGATGGAACTACTGCTGATGGCAATCCTGTTTCAGTGTCCTTGCTAGAGACTGAACTCAGCCCATTCCTCACAAGCTTCCTGCTTGCCCACCAAGAGTTTCATCTCTTTCTCATCAGAAACAAACGTTTCTGGGAAGTGACGGGAAGAACCTAACCTGCCATACCTACTTTTCTTCTCTCTTAAGTCTGTTAAAGACTTAAAAGTAAACAGAAGTTCTTCTGCCCCACAGGAAGTGCTTTTCCTCATGTCCTACACACCAAACAAATCCAAGACACTCCAAAATCCACCATCTGTATGTAAATATTACAATGTCTCTGTGTAAGGGCAAACAAGCTTTGCTTTAAAGCTATGATCGAGTGAACTCTTCGAAATTTAATGTCAATCCCCTCAAGAGACACTCACTCACAGCTTTAAGGCAAAAGGGCACTGAAAATGGATGCTGAACCCAGAATCCCAGACCAGAAGCCATATGCAGCACTGAATTTGACGTGGGTTGTGTTTGTACACATTGCAAAAGTACCATTTTGAGTGAGACTTCCCAAGCTCAGAACGCAGCGCTGGTCTCTCTGCCGAAGTTGGCACCGACCTCCTGTGGCCGCTGCTGTTACCGCTGACACTGTGGCTCCAGGAGGCGGTGGCTCCCTGTCCTGGGTTCAGCAGTAGCAGTCATTTTTCTCCTTCTTGGTAGCTGGTGCAGTGCTGTGCTTTTGACTTTCAGCCTGGGAACAGCACTGATAACACCGATGTTTTTAGTTACTGCTCAAATGTTTATTCTGACCAAGGACTTTCTGAGTCTCATGCTCTGCCAGGGAGGAGGGAAGCCGGGAGGAAGCAGAGACAGGACACCTGACCCAAACTGACCAAAGAGGTATTCCATACCACAGCACGTCATTCCCAGGATGTAACTGGGAGTTACCTGGAAGGGCTAGGGCACTGCGGAGTTGGATGAGGTATTGGTCGGTGCTCGGTCGGGCAGGGTGGGGTGAGTTATCCATCGGCGGGTGGTGAGCGGTTGTATTCTCTTCCCTTGTTATTTCCCTTATCATTATTATTATTGGTGGTAGCAGCAGTGATTTGTGTTATACCTTAGTTACTGGACTGTTCTTATCTCAATCCGTGGGAGCTACATTCTTTCAGTTCTCCTCCCCATCCCTCCGGGAGCAGGGGGAGGGCAAGAAGTGGGGGTGGGGGTGTGGGGGGGGGGGGTGAGAGAGAGACTGCGTAATTTGTGGCTGACTGGGTTTAAACCACGACACTCCCTCAGGCAGCGCGAGCCCGCTTGCGCCATCTTGCGGACCCCGGCCAGGTTTACGGGCGCCAGCCTGAGAGGCTACTGCGAGCTACGCGGAGCTACGGGCATGCGGAGGCCGCGGTGCCGGGAACCTCCCGAAGGCTGCTGGCCCTCTCCCAGAGCAGGTCAAGCTGACACGGCGCCTGAGGAAGCTGCAGCAGCGAGGGTAGCGGCATGTGTCCGCCCCGCCTGCTCTGCTGTCTCACACACGAACTTCTTCGGTCCCGGCTGCCGGCCTGGAGCTGGCAGTGCAGCCGGATGGGAGAAGCCTCACCCCACTGCCCTTCATCCTGTACACACAGAGGGGTCCTAGCCTTAAAAACAGTATCAAAGTATAAAAGCAGAACAGTCCGGTTTTACTTCAGGGATTAAAACGTGTGGGTCTTATTACCCCCCTCCTCCCCCCAGTAATTTAATCTCATCACCTACCATTAACTACTCAACTTCTCCAGGTAGCACAGCTGCTTTCCCTCCTCTGAAATCACATGGGACTCCATCTTTCTGGTCAAAAATACCTTCCTGGAGCTCCAGACAAAGCAGCAACACCTCCAGTGTTCATCTTTTTCATGGCCACACTTCCCTCAGGAGCAAAAGCAGCAGAGCCCTTCCTCAGGCATTGCCTTGTGGCCGGTACCAGCACAGCCTGGAAAGCTCTGGTAGCAGAGGACAGAGTGGGCCTGGGCACTTATCCCATGCACTCCCTGCACACAGGTGACTGCGTTCTGATGGATATCCCTAGGCAAACACCGAGCATGCCATCTAACTTAAATGCAGACGAATGCAAAGCAAAAATAAAGTTGTTTTTCTCCTGGCACAGGAGACATTTAGGGCTTTCCTCCTCAAGTTTCTTGCTGTTCTGGTTCCATACTGAACTCTGCACATAGTTATTTGTATATGTGCTTTCTTTTGTGTGTGTTTCACTGTAGAGACAGGTTTGTCATAGTATTTCTTAAGGTACAGCTTTTTCAGCAGGCAGTGAGACCAATATTAAAGTCAGGTCACAATTTCCATTATAAACACTGATTTCCCAAATTTTACTACCCTTAAATAAAAATGTTCTGCAAGCAGAAACAAAATTCTGTGGAAAGCAAAGAACTAAAGTAGAGGCACTGGCTTGCACCTGCTACCACTGCTTATATGAACCTGTTTACACTTTTCACTAGGCAGTAACTTGACCGCTTAAAAACTGCATTTTTTCCACTGGAAAACAAAGCAGACATGTTGTGCTGCTGATGTCTGAGTGACTATCCTGATGGACTATCATGGCAGCTGCAATCAAACCACTGCAGCCACTGTTGTGCAGTGAGGACAGCAGAGTCTGTACTACTGTTTAAACAAACACGCTAATGAACGGTTGTTTTAGAAAAAAAATAAGAGACATTTGAGCACCCTGACCTTAAAATTGTCATTTAATGATGGGAAGTGTTTTATGTCCTTTCAATACACAGACACAATGCCACAATTTAAACAAGCTGCTTAATTTTCTCTCTAATGCCTGAATATATGTGATGGACATATAGTGCTGTATCATCCTCAGCTGGGAATTGCCTTAACTTTATTGTTTTCTGTCACTGTATGCTCTCCCAATGTTTTAGTGATTGTGAAAGATCAGTAAGAAAGGATTACTTTGAAACTCTTTGAAAAGGAAAAAATCCACGAGGGAACTTGAAACAACAGTAAACCTGAGAACTGTTGTACAGCACAAAAGATCTCACGAGGAGGGGAGGAAGCCCTTCAGTTGCAAAAACTAACGAGAGAGATGCCACTGCAAGATCACTGCCAGAAGATATTTAAGAGAGAAAAGATAAGTAACTAGCTTTTGAGCAGCATTTTGTTCCCAGGGTCCCATCTTTGTGGATTGATAAAATACTTCTTGTCAGCTGAGATTATGGGTTACCACTTACGATGTTAAAATGGACATCTCAAATATATTTTCGTCAGTCTTTCCTTCTAAATTAAAATTGGTGTGCAAAGACTGGTCTGAGTTGAAGGGAAGCATAAGCAGCACTGTACTTTGTGCTGGCAGTACATTAACGATGACCCAGGATCCTTTAGGCACTGTTTCATCACACTCACAAGGCCAGTGCTGGCCCAAGGGGCAGTACCACTCTGCCTGCTAGACATTTCCATCCCTTTTCTGGTTCTAATACCAACATTTGTCAATTGATCTGGCAGTAACATTTTTATTTTTCTCTTCTGGGTGAAGTTTCACCATAATGCAATATAAGTTACAGAAGTAGCATATGGGAAGTCAGTGGGAACTAACCCCCAGCTTTCAGCAGCAGTACAGAAGCCAGTTGTGAAACTGCACTTTCACGTGCCTACAAAATGGGAGCAACATTTGTCAAGGTAAATGACACCTTTTATTAGAAGGCCTAATACAGCTGGGAAAAAATTATCAGTCTTACACACTCAAGTCCTTCTTCAAGAAACCTATCTGCTGAGGAATGGATTTGCCAGCGTTTAACACTGGAAAAGGCAGTTACCTCTCAAAACTAACCAACAAAACCTTTGGTAAGTCTTTGGGCCAGAAAGCAAAAATGATCCCACAGCTTGCTATCTGGATGATTTGTTTGTAAGATCAACTGCAGTTCCTGTTGCAATTAATAGTAAATGTTGTGATTATTTTACAAATAGTGGAAGTATTCCAACTGGAGAATACAGAAAACTTGCAGCAGAATGTTCTTGATCCAATTTGCTAATATACTCTCCTGAAAGACTCAGATTCTGTCTCCAGATTGGATGGGCAAGTGAGTTTAAGCCTCTGTTCTTCTTGTGCTGTTGTGCTAAGCAGGTGAAACAAGTTTCTGCTATTCAGTGTCTACTGGGTGTAGCCACCTAGCCTTTGTCTCCAGGAAGGCTGTGCAAATAGGTAAGACAGGAAAATGTATCTTGTAGAACTTTAATCAGCTTTGATTTAGTAAGAGTGCCATAATGTCTAAGTTATAAACAGTTTTTCACATAAACAGTGACTGAAACTTAGTGGATTCTGATCTTAACTTTGGTTGGCAGCTACTGTCTCACGGGGAAAGCTCTTACGAACCATTTTTAAGTGCATGAACCTGTTCTCTCAGCTACTGAATTTCTTTTATCACTTGCCTGTCCTCAAGGTTATTCAGTTCCTCTTTATCATACTGTAACTCCCTTGCACAGTACCAGTGCTTCCCAGCTGCGTGCTAACAGCAGTTTTCATTAGCAAACTCTTCATTATTGCACAAAGGTTGTTAATGAAAGCATGACATGTTTGTGCCCAAGAAAACTCCTTGAAGATGTTCAGCAGCAAACTCCCTTTAGCCTCAGAAGTCCTCTTAAGGAGGTGCCAACCTCACCTTACATCCATAAATCCCAAAGCTTTGTTATAATGCCTAGTGTGTGATTTACCCTAATCTGTTAAGTACAGAATTGTAATGCTATAGTGAGCCATACTTGCAGAATGGTGTAGATTTTTTCAGATACAGCATGTCTATCCTAATGTTTGCATTTAAGCAGAGAAAAGATGATGGCCTAAGACAATAACAATTTACCAGAGTAATAAAAGGGAAAACTTCTGAATTACATCAGAATCAGATGAAACAAAATGATCTGACCTGAACTATAGTGGTCTGAGTAAAATCCACACATAGAATCTGATTCCAGCATCATCAAAGAGGTAGCAAAATAATCTTTTATTAATTTATCAGGAAATAATGAAGAGAGAAAATGCTTGTTTTTTCCAGGAAGCAGAAATCTATATGTATCACACACTTTTATTAAAATACAACAGAGGATACGGATTAATTAATTAGTCCAATAATTAGTAATCAATAGGAATTTATTATTACCATCTTCATTATTATTATTAACCAAAATAAATAAAAAGCCACTAGACTCATGTCACATGCCAAGTAATTAGCACAATTGCCCATCAACTTGGCTAGCTAAAGAAGGCAGTACTGAGCCTTTGAAGGGAACTTTTTTGGTCCCATCACAAACTAGTTCTTGGAGGTGTGCAAAGAAGTTCTTATAACCAGGGTGAATCACTGACCTGGCTTATCTGAAGCCTGTAAAATGAGTAAGATCACTTACTGTGTCACAATTATCAAAAGATACATCAAAGTTATTTAACAGCTACTGCAAGTAAGCAGGGAGACCGAGTTCTTGTGTTGTTTCCTGATGCTGTTGGATCAGGATCTTCTTCCCTCCACTTTATAGTTCACTCTCTCATAATTTTTCACTCCTTCCAGGTTCCCATTACTGTGCAGAACCAGTCTTCTCTCTCCAGTCAAGAACTCTGTCATATTCACCTTGACATCAAGCCATATTTCTTGCTTCTTGTGCTGTAGTGTAGAATCACAGAATGGTCTGGGTTGGAAGGGACCTTAAAGCTCATCCAGTTCCAACCCCCTGACAAGGGCAGGGACACCTTCCACTAGACCAGGTTGCTCTAAGCCCCATCCAGCCATCCCCCCCCCCCCCCCAGTATCTAATCTAAAACTGTCCTAAATCACTTGTTCCTTTTTTCTGTTTGTTTTGTTTCATTCCTAGCAGATTTTTAAATTGCTTTATTCTACACTATATTTATTAGGAGGTTAGCTCATAAAACATGGTTGATTTGTATCCACAGCATTAGCTTTTCTTTCTAGTCTGTTATCTAAAAGGTATCTGGCAAGTTTATTTGGGGCATATCAACCTGTGAAGCACTGTCTATGTATGTTAGACAAAATAATAAGTAACCCAAGACAAATGTGGCTGCCTACAAAAAGTACATTGGAAGCTTTATTTAATTCACTGTTCTTTATATTCTAAACACATATATGCACCTGAGTACCAGAAATATCATGCAGCTCACCATTCAAAAATGAAAAAAAAAACCTATTACAAAGATTACAGCATAGTTAAACTAAAATTTCTTAAATATGTTTTATATGTTACTCATAAGAATAATCTATTATTCTTATAATTGTGTAAGAATTGTAATTCTTATAATTATTCTTATAGTCTGCGCAAAAAAGTATAGTCAGGAGTTAATGAATTAGAAAATAGCAGGATTAAGACTGTGCATATTCATGATGATACATGTCTTTACTACATGCACATCTACTATTTCCTCTACATGACCCATGCCTTATTTAGAGTTAGGACAGATTGATTGCTCTCTTATTGAACTGCTGTCCACTGTTTGCTTTTGTTTTTATTTGTTCACTGTCAAAAGCCAGTACTTTACTCAGCACAAACTACTCCTTTACTGCTTTAAAGAAAGAAATTTGGACTTTAGTATGAATCTTCCTCCCTCTCTTCTTACATACAAATGATTTCATTGCAGAAAGAGGGCATGTCTGTACTATGCAATGGAGCATAATGCACAGTTAATTCAACTATTCCAGGAGCAACATAGCAAATACAGGTCATGCTGTGCACATCAGAGGATAAACTAACATGTACAAAGGGCAGGTTAGAGCAGCCGTACTATAAAACACTTTAGTACTCGTTTTGCTGGTTTTGGCTGGGGTAAAGTTAATTTTCTTCATAGTAGCTGGTATGGGGCTCTGTTTTGGATTTGTGCTGGAAACAGCGCTGACAACACAGGCATATTTTCCTTACTGCTGAGCAGTGCTTGCACAGAGCCAAGGCCTTTTCTGTTCCTCACCCCACCCCATCCCATCAGCGAGCAGGCTGACAGTGCACAAGGACTGGGAGGGGATACAGCCAGAACAGCTGACCCCAGCTGACCC